CAAACCCCCTAACATGAGACCCCCTAACATCAGACCCCCTAACGTCAGACCCCCCTACGTCAGACCCTCAGCCCCTCTGACGCCAGACCCCCTGACGTCAGGGAGTCTGACGTCAGACAAATCCTCCTCAGAGAGTTTGAGAGCTTCTGTTTTACTTTCAGCCCGAGCCCGTCAGGATCCAGATCCAGGTTCCTTCCAAACAGGAAGTGAAGTCTGGGCCCGCCCCCCAGCAAGGGATTGTAGCTGTTAATCATCCGCATGTGAAGCTGTCGGCCAATGGCAGCGCTCAGATCCTCCACCTCCAGCCTGTGATTGGCCAGCAGGGTCAGCAGTTCTTCCTGCAGCAGGGTGACGCCCCCATCCAGCTGCTGCTCCACAGCCCCGCCCCCGTCCCAGGATCTCTGCTCCCATTGGTCCACAAGCTCACAGGCCAGACCTCCTCCTCCAGTCAGAAGCCCCCTGTCAGAGTCCCGCCCCCTGCTGTCATCAGGACCGAAGCTAAGACTGCTAGCATCCCGCTAATCAAAACAAGTAAGAGTCCCAGTGCACCAGTACAGGGTCCCGTTAAACTGGTACAGGGTCCCGTTAAACCGGTACAGGGTCCCGTTAAACCAGTACAGGGTCCCGTTAAACCGGTACAGGGTCCCGTTAAGCCGGTACAGAGCCCCCGCGCCCCTGTGAGGGACAAAGACCAGAAGAAGAGGAAGAGAGAGAGCAAGGCAGCGAAGGTGCAGACTCGGTCCGGGCGAGTTTCCCGACCCCCTAAGTATAAAGCTAAAGACTACAAGTTCATAAAGACGGAGGACCTGGCCGACAGCCACCAGTCCGACTCGGACGATTACTCCGACCTGAGCGAGGAGGAGGAGGAGGAGGAGGAGGGAGGTCCAGGCCTCGCCCCCCCCCTCACCTGCAGCCACAAGTCCCGCCCCCACAGCTGCCAGACCTGCGATAAAGCCTACATCGGGGCGGGAGGCCTGAACCGTCACTACAGACTGAACCCAACACATGGAGAGCCTGATCCGCCCGGAGACACGCCACGCCCCCTTAGTGAAGACAGCCAATCAGAGGAGACCACGGCAGGACGAGGAGAGGAGGAAGAGGAGGAGAAGGAGGAGGAGAAACCTGTTGCCATGACAACAAGCAGAGTAAGAGCCCGTCGAACAATCACAGCTCAGATCTATCTACCTTTTTACCTGTGAGTGTTAACCAGTTTAATCTTTGTTCAGATGGAGGGGGGTCCAGCTGCAGGACTCAGGGGCCTGCCCCCCCGCCGGGGCCCAGGACGCCCCCGAGGGAGGGGCCGAGGGAGGGGGCGGGGCCGAGTGCTGGGACCGCCTCCAAAGGTGAGTCACACCAGCAGTAACAGGAAGGTTGTGGGTTCCATCCCAGCAGCAGACACTCCTCTAGCAAAACACTGAAAACTGTGTGTGACTGCGTGTGACTGTGTGACTGTGTGACTGTATGTGTGGCTGTGTGTGACTGTGTATGACTGTGTGTGTGACTGTGTGACTGTGTGACTGTATGTGTGGCTGTGTGTGACTGTGTGTGTGACTGTGTATCACTGTGTGTGTGACTGTGTGTGACTGTGTGTGACTGCGTGTGAATGTGTGTGACTGTGTGACTGTGTATGAATGTGTGTGTGACTGTGTGTGTGACGGTGTATGAATGTGTGTGTGACTGCGTGACTGTGTATGAATGTGTGTGACTGTGTGTGACTGTGTGGCTGTGTGTGACTGTGTGTGTGTGTGACTGTGTGTGGCTGTGTATGAATGTGTGTGTGTGACTGTGTGTGTGACTGTGTGTGACTGTGTGACTGTGTATGAATGTGTGTGTGTGTGTGTGTGTGTGACTGTGTGTGTGACTGTGTGTGTGACTGTGTGACTGTGTGTGAATGTGTGTGACTGTGTGACTGTGTGTGACTGTGTGTGACTGTGTGTGACTGTGTGTGTGACTGTGTGTGTGACTGTGTATGACTGTGTGTGTGACTGTGTGTGACTGTGTGTGTGACTCTGTGTGTGAGTGTGTGTGACTGTGTGTGTGACTGTGTATGAATGTGTGTGTGACTGTGTGTGTGACTGTATGAATGGTGTGTGACTTGTGTGTGACTGTGTGTGACTGTGTGTGACTGTGTGTGACTGTGTG